TCCCAAATCTTTTAGGCTCTGATTCAACGATTCCATCATTTTTCCTAAGAGAAGCTGGAGGACACTATCAACCACACCTCTTTCCTGTCCCCAAAGGTCACGTATATGATATAGAGCACCCAAGCAAATGACAAGAGGAATTAAGCATGCCCAGGATATAAAGAGAAGAGGCAAGAAGTCAATAATCATACACTTATTTAGAAAGTGCCACATACAGTACGGTAATTAAAACCTAAACATCTGGAGAAAATGTAAACAGTGTCTAATGTTGGCATGTACCAAGAGACCGGCAAGAATGGTCAATGTGCTCTGAGGAACCAGGGTCCTATTTATAGGATACAAGTCTTGGAAGGCTCTCTCAGCAGGAAAGATATTAATTAAGTGGTGATGACACAGAAAGGAGAAAGAACTGGGATATGCGGGGGTGGGTGGGGGCACAGGAAATATAAAGAACAAATAGTCTCTAGGTTTTTTCTTGGCTGGGAACACACTGTACAGACAGTACAAGGTTATAACAACTAAATGAATTGGCTGTTCTGAGTTTTAAAAAAAAAAAAACACTTTTTTTCTTCTTTTCTCCCCCAATGAATTCCACTTGGGATTCTGTATTCTGTAATCCTTAAAGATGTTATACAATACCGCATGAAGGGAGCATAGCTAAGGTTGGTTGGGGGTGATAGGAAAGGTACTGCGGATAGACGCACATTGAGTATAAAGAAGTTTTCTTTTTTAGGCAGAAAACAAATAAACTCAGAATTTAAGAGTAAGACTGAAATTTCAGCATTGATTTTTTCTCTTTGATACATTTGTATTAGCTCTCCCCATCACCATCTACAACCCAGATGTTCATTTCTGCGGCAGGTTAAGTCATCTTTTCTCATAGAATATTATATGTAGGAAGCCAATAAACTACTGCTGAAACCAACAAGACTTGGGATTTATCATGAACTGGGGGTGGGGGAGTACTTTCCCTCGGAGGCATGGTGACGAATAGGGAGCTTGCCTCTCCTCTGGCACTAGGACCCACTCATCCTTGTACTTTTGAGCCTACCTCATATATCAGAGGCCAGGTGCTGAGTTCCTTCGAAAGAGAGGATGCTTGAGCTAGGATAATACCTGGGAGCCAGATTTCTATGTCTCTTAGTCAAGATTTCCTAGACTGACCTATGATGAGATTACAGTTTTTAGTGTAACAGACACATCCAAGGAAAGCTGCAGTAATTTACAGCAGGCTTGCAAAGAAATAGCCAATGAATGATCATCAATTTAAACTGCAAATAAGGGCCTGTTTCGTCCCGGCTGCTGATCCCAGTAATACCCCTAACAAGCTGCCTGCAAAGCCAGGGCCTGATGCCTGCTGTTGGAGACATATTGATTGAAGAACTGTGCTTGTCCGCATAAGCAGCTAAAAATAGCCAGAAGAATGCAAAGGCAAAACAGGTTTCTGGGAATGGAAGACAGTTACTCCTCTGTCAGTTTTATTCCAGTTGCTCTCACTGATGTGAAGAGGAGAGAGAAGTATCTGGTACAAAAGATGTTAACTTGTTAGACAGCACCCCAGAGACCTGAAAGAATTAATACAACCCTTTAAAGGAGCCTGCCTTTTCACTGGAGGACGCAGAAGTCCTAGGAGAATTAGAGCAAACCTCAATGCCTTTGTCCTGCATAATTAATACAGCCTGATATTTCTCTTCTTCTTCTTCTTCTTTTTTTATAACATAAACTCTCATTGATTGGGAGAAATATATTCACACTTTAAAATGTTGGGCAGGTACCATCTCTTTGGTTCAAGTATGTCCCTTTGTGGGGGAAAGTCCATATTTCATGGTGATAAATTCACCTCATAAGTAGAAAAACTGAACACAAATATACTGCTATGTCAACTTTATTGATTTTTGCACCATTGTAAAGACCTTCATCGTCCTCCAATATTTCTTAAATCTATCAGCATCTCAGAAAGTCACCCTGAAGGCCTCATTTATCTGTAGAGGAAAAGATCCCTCCCCCTAGGTTCACCCATAAACATTGTGATTTAAACAGCTCAGGCCTGCCTCTGCTTCTGGAAGTTGACCTGCAGAGAGAAAGCTGTTCTCAGAGTCACGGGCAATGGCTACTTCTTCTCTGGAAAAAGGATCAGCCAAGTCTTAATTTTAGCTAAATGCCCATGGCCAAATGTCTTTTTTTTTTTTTTTTTTTGCGGTACACGGGCCTCTCACTGTTGTGGCCTCTCCCGTTGCGGAGCACAGGCTCCGGACGCGCAGGCGCAGCGGCCATGGCTCACGGGCCCAGCCGCTCCGCGGCATGTGGAATCTTCCCGGACCAGGGCACGAACCCTTGTCCCCTGCATCGGCAGGCGGACTCTCAACCACTGCGCCACCAGGGAAACCCCAAATATCTTTTTTGAAAGCCCTGCAGGTAACTACAGATTAAGTATGCAGCTTGATTGATATTGATGTATTAACATAAATAGATTCAGTGGCAGGGCTCCATTCTGTATCACATCTAAGCTTTCTTCTAGTCTTAGGAGCTACATCTGGACTTGAGATCCCACTCTTCAGGTCCTGCTCCTGTTAACAGTGTTGTAGTCTTCAGGTCACTACCACATACTCTGCTGCTACAGAAAAGCCTATGCCTACCTTCAATATTTGACATCCTATTTTTAAAAATCATATTCCTTTCTAATGTCATTAATAAAACAGAGACTGTCACTAGATGAGAACAATTCTAAGTCTCTTCCAGCTGTAAATTCCTTTGTTTTCGCCTGTATCACTTTACAAACAGGAAAATGTAACTGACTTACCCAAAGGAACCTGCTAGGTGGAAGCAGAGCCAGAGACTTCTCAACTACAGAAAGTCATAGTGCATTTACTACTAGAATACGGGATCTTTGAGGGTAGAAAGCTGGCTTATTTCTTTTTGTATCCTATACTGCCTACAGAGTGTTGATTGCTAAATTAAATGTACTAAAAATGTGAACTAGAGGAAAAATCAATAGGGGTTACAAGAATCAATTCAAAGCCAACAAACATAACTCAATCTCATTATAAAAAATAAAGGATATAAATTTGGCTCCTTAATTTAGGACTGTATACAGCAGATCAAAATTGTTTAGATGTAATTGGTGATGATGGACCGGTCATCAACCAGGAAGGGGAAGATAGGAGTGTTCAAGGGAAATCTCTAAATTTGTGAGGTTGACATTATTGAACTGTGCTGTCCAATACTGTGGCCATCAGCCACATGTGGCTACTTGCATTCAAATTAATTAAAACGAAATGAAATGTAAAATCTGGTTCCTCAGTCACACTAGCCATACTTCAAATAATAGCCCCAAGTGGTTAGTGTCTATAGTATTGGATAGCTTAGAGGAACATTTCTATCATTGTAGAAAGTTCTACTGAACACAGCTACTTATAGAGGATAATCACTACTTTCACTTCCAATAATTATATGAAGAAGGAGAAGGAAGATGAGAAAAGGAGAATAAAGCGAAGAGAAAACATGATTAAGCCTTAACTATTCTGTGCTAAACACCTGACATGACTTAGTTCATATAATTCTTACAACTTTCCCCATGAGGTAGGTACTATAATTATCCCCATTTTCAATTTGATGACACTGTGCTTGGAGAGATTAAGTAAATCACCATAGGTATATACTTGTTAAGTGGCTTAGCTGGGTTTTTACTCAAGCCATCTGACTCCAGAGTCTATGCACAATGGGAAATTATGCTGCTCCAAAATAAAAACTTGAAATGTTTACAGCCAGAAGAAACATTACGCCCTACCTAGCTGGTTCTTAATCCCAGATACGTACCAGAAGCACCTGGGGAGCTTGCGCGAGATACAGTTCCCTGAGGCCTAACCCAGAGCAACAGGAGTGGGGCTAAGGCTTGCGTATGTGGGGAAGCCTAGTGCTCTGAATGTACAGCCAGAGTTGAGGATGACTGTTTAGAGATGTACTAATCTACCTTCCACAGTCCGGATGACAAAATGCGGCACCTACCTACCCAAGGTCACGAACAGTACCCACTGACAGATCTGAAATGAGAACCTAGGTATCAGGGCTGCCATCATAACAGAATATGGCTTAGGACACATGAATGAAAAACCTTTTTCTGCTTCCTGATGGATACTCATCTCTATTCATATAACTCACATAATACTTAGAAATTACATGTCAGAATTCAGAACTGGATAGTGCAAATTTTTAAAACCAAACAATGAATGTAACACCACTCTCCTCTTGAGACAAATAGGTCTTTCTCTTCTAAAAGCAGACATTTTCTTCCTAAGAAAATAACATCTTTCTCTGAAGAGTAAATAAACCCTCTTCATAAGAGTAGTATTATACAGTGGAAACGGTATGACTGCCAAGCAAGAAACCTGAATCTTCTCCCAACTGTGCCCATAACTCTGTGATGGGGGCAAGTCATTTCCTTTCTTTGAACCTTAGTTTTCTCATCTGTAAAATTAGCTTGTGGTGTATGATGATCACCAAGGTTCCTTCCCAGCATTGCCTCCATTCTGACATTTGTGTGCAGGCTGAATAAACTTTTGAAATGAAACTTCCAACCTGCTGTAGGACAATGCATTTACTTCAACTCTAGCCAATCTATTTACTCCATGTCAAGGGAAAACAGGGGGACATCACATGAAAATCCCATCTTTTCTTCTGTTTTGTCAAGGCTCATTCTGATTCTTGTCACTGATTGGTCAGAGCTCTTAACAAGAGTCTGAACATCCATTCAACAAGACATTCCCTGTAGCTGTCTCTTGGAAATGGTAATGATATACCTACCCCATCTCCCTCCTACATTCACAGCTGCTGATCTGAAAATTATGATGTGTCAGACATTTTACCACCTTAACATCCATCAACTCATCTTTATATCTCTTAAAGCTTAACTGTATTGGATTTTTAGGTGGTTTAGAGAGGTTAGCCAGCCAAGACAGAAGTCACATCATGAATAAACAGCATTCTGAATATACATTTCTTACCTTACGCTTGTTGGTAGGACACACGTAGAGATAGCTTAAAATTGTTTTCAACCCAACTTTATCATTCAGCTTCTCATAGGTTGTCCCATAATCGGTTGACCTGTAATTCAAAAGGAGCATTCATGAGGACAGAAGTATATACGTCATTTGTCTGCTTGTCAGTATAATGTATGTTTTACATAGTAGAATGGCTCTCCAGAGGTTTCTAAATGATTCATGTAGTACATAATGATGCTTAATTATGTACACAGTAGCATCATGTGAGTGGTTAACATTTGCATTTAAATTGAATTGGTAAAAATTAAAACTCCATCTCTCACTGCTCCTTAAGGTACGTGCATTGCATAAAGAAAGTGTTTAATTTTCAAAGATTGAGAATGAGGGTGTCCCTTGAATTAACCAAAGAAATAAAGACCTTTTACTTAGATTTGACATTTCCAAACTTCTGCTTTATCTTTGGCAAGTGGAAAAGCAGGTTCTCCTGATTTATCTACAAGCTGTGTTTTCTCTCATGAGCCATAGAATATATGGTGGGTCAGTCCCTCCAAAGGTCATTCAGTCTTTTCCTATTATTTAAGAATAAGAAAATGTCTTGATAATAAGTGAAATTTCACAATTCTAGTTGGTGGCCTTTTCCAGCGTTAAGCCACCTGGAGTTGGGAGAATATCACTTCTTGGTACTGACTCTATCTTTTTTGGAGATTCTCTCCTCTCTTCTTGATGCTGGTCAGTAACTTATTAATTCAGACTGAATAAATAGGCCTTAATCACCTCTTCTATGTAAGTCTATTACATATTTCAGAATTGTACATCTTATTAGATCAACACTGCAACCACGTACAGTAGGAAATATTATCTGTATTTGAAGAAAGTGGTTCAGAGAACTTAAGTGACCTATCCAAAGCCAGTTAGAATTTGACTCTAGGTATCATGGCCCTAAGCCCTGTGTTGTTTACATTATACCATAGCTCTGTTTGTTTTTTGTTTTTTAATTTAAAGGAAACATATAAAATCTCTTGTCAGCCTTCTTTATACATATAGAAGATTCCCAATGAAAATTCATTCATTCATTCCTTTACATTTGTAGAGCCTCTAAAATGGACCAGGACCTGTGCTATGTAGCAGGATACAACACATGCCCCTACTCTCAAGAATCTAACAGCTTTTTATTTTATTTATTTATTTATTTATTTATTTATTTATTTATTTATTTTTGGCTGCATGGGTCTTTGTTGCTGCACGTGGGCTTTCTCTAGTTGCAGCGAGCAGGGGCTACTCTTCGTTGTGGTACGCAGGCTTCTCATTGCAGTGGCTTCTCTTGTTGCACAGCGTGCGCTCTAGGTGCACGGGCTTCAGAAGTTGTGGCTCGCGGGCTCTAGAGCACAGGCTCAGCAGTTGTGGTGCATGGGCTTAGTTGCTCTGCGGCATGTGGGATCTTCCCAGACCAGGGCTCAAACCCGTGTCCCCTGCGTTGGCAGGTGGATTCTTAACCATTGTGCCACCAGGGAAGTCCCAAGAATCTAACAGCTTTGAGAGGCAGAAAAAAAGCTGTAATGTGTTATGTGTAATGAAAGAGATAAAAATTAACAAGACTCAGAAAATAAAGTTGGTTTAATTAGAAAACCACAAAAATGTAATTATTTTAATTTATTTCTGATATTGATAGAAGTTGCATATTCCCATAGACCATAAAGACTAAATAGAAGAATTTTCTGTTAACAACCTCAACACCATATATTAAGAGCCTACTCTGGACCAGGCACTGGAGACAGAAAGCTATAAAATATAAGTTCCTGGAATTAAGGAATTAAGAATTATTGTGGCTGGGGACCCAGGGATCTCTTTACCCTAAAAATTTATATATACATATATATATAATACATAAATATTATAAATGACATTATATTATTATAATATATATTATATATATAAATTATAAGTAAATAAATATAGTCAGTATGTTATAAAATTTAGATTATACTCCAAATCACTGAAGATTGGAGTGGTATGAAAAGTTTCTTGGAAGGACTATGGACCTTGAAAATGGAAAATCGGTAGGGCTTTAGAAAAGGGATGTAGAGTTGACCCTTGAACAGCAGGGGAGTTAGGGGTACCAACTAACTATTCCTGTAGTCAAAAATCAGCCTATAACTTACAGTCAGCCCTATATATATATATATATATATATATATATATATATATGTGGTTTCTCCACATCTGTGGTTCTGCATTCAAGGATTCAAACAACCACAGATTGTGTAGAACTATAGTATTTACTACTGAAAGATATCCATGTATTAGTGGATGCACACAGTTCAAACCTGTGCTGTTCAAGGGCCAGCTGTAGTCAGGGCATCAAAAACTAGAAGTACCTTGTGTAATCCAAATACATAACTGGATTTCCTCAGGACCAGTCTGTGCTCTAGCCGAACTGAACAAACGCTGGCTTGATAGCCAAGAATATTTGAAGAATAATCCCAAACTCTTCACAGAAGATCTTATCCATGAACCACAACAAACTTCTTTAAATTCTCCTTCCATATTTACTTTTTTCTCCTCAAACTCATCTTGATGTGAAAATCCCTTCTACTTTCTAAGAAATATCTGAGACTTCTTCCCTTACTCAGTCTAATCTTGGTGTTTGACTATTTTTTCCCACTCTTACCCTGGCCTTACTGGGTCTACTTTCTCTTCTTATTAAGATTTGCTTGTCTGCAAAATTTCACTAGTCTTTCTCTAACTCCTTTTATTGGATAACTTTTTCTATTTAGTATTCTGAACAATACTCACAAGTTCAAGGACAAAAAACCCAGATTCAAAATCTATGGGGGGCAGTGATGAGAGGAGGATGAAATGTACAAATACCTCTACATTAATAAATTTTGCCTAGTGATAGATGGAAATCAATAGGACTATGTTGGAGATGAGAGAACGGTTCAATTTTTCTAGTGGGATAATGGAAAGGAGGCCAGAGAGGTAGGGATCAGTCTATAAAAGCATGATAATTAGTTTCTTATAATTTCTATCAACTTGATCTCTGACCTACTCAATGAATATTTTTACATTCAAAAAACATACTACAGGGCTTCCCTGGTGGCGCAGTGGTTGAGAGTCCGCCTGCCGATGTGGGGGACACGGGTTCGTGCCCTGGTCCGGGAAGATCCCACGTGCCGCGGAGCGGCTGGGTCCGTGAGCCATGGCCGCTGAGCCTGGCGTCCGGAGCCTGTGCTCTGCAACGGGAGAGGCCACAACAGTGAGAGGCCCGCGTACCGCAAAAAAACCCCAAAAAAACAAACAAGCAAAAAACATACTAGAAGGGCAAACTCTGTGTGTGTGTGTGTGTGTATTTAACTGAAATCCCAATGTGACAAGATGATAATGGAGTGACTATTTCAGATTTACATTAACAACTTCTTTTTCAGATAGCTTACAATATGTTATTGGGCATTTTTCTCTTGTTATAACGTCACCAATCCAGATACCTCAGGTATCTTCCATTACTTTTTGTGCCAGTTTTTGCCCCTTGATTTTCCAAAGCTCAAATAGTGAATCGAAATTTGTTAATTCTCAATTCCAGCAGAACTAAATGTTTAAACATTATGGTATTATAATAATTGATAGAAAGAAGAAAAAAAATGACGTATTTCGACACACCCCAAATGGCATAGACTGGCAATTCTCCACGGTTGTCCCACAGAACTAGAATTAGACTGTTGACAAGTATCATAGGTAAAACTAACAGGCAGCTGGGATACACTGGTACAATGACACAGGAGTGAAATACTCCTGTGGCAAACCAGTTGGCAAACAGTTACTGCACCAAGTTCACAGAATAGCTGCTTCCACCACCTTCGCCACCATGGTCTCTTCTTGGAGAACTCCCAGATCCCTCACAGTCCCAGCAACTGAAAGATTGAGGGCTGGCACAGCAGAGGTCCCCAAGAAACTTGCTCCAGCACCTGTTCTGAATGGCCACTGCCTACTCCAGTCAGCCTGAGCCCCAGTAGAGGAGACAGTGACCTTGGAGGAGGCACTGCACCCTGGGAGGCAATTCCCAGTGCCCGTCTGCAAACTCCCCTGCACAGCTAACACATGCTTCTAGTTATGCCTGCATGGTCAAATGCGGGAAACTCAGTCTCCTAGGTATGTGGGCTCCAAAAGAGCAGGAGAAAGACAGACAGTTGAGCAGCAGGCTGGCTGTTGAGCCAGTGCACTAGCTGTTAAATATTTTAAGTATCATCTCTAGATATGGGGGAGAGGAGTGTGACCTAAGATCAAAAAATGTTAGGAAACACTTGTTAAGGCAAATGTAATGTTTCTTCACTTCAGAACTTAGAAATTTTATTATTCTTACATACATGCCTAAATTGTATTATTCTAATATACACTGTGAACCTCTTACATGCCAATTGCATGCAGCATTTTCAAAGCACATTTGATTATAGGGTCCATTCTTGAGAGATATCTAATGAGATTAGTGTTCTGAACAACATACTTTGGGAAACAGTATGAAGAACAATAACAACAAAAAAGCCAAAAAAAGATTATGGATCTTGGTTTCATAAGAAAAGGAGAATAAAAATATTTAAAACAAATCAAATCGGCAAAGAGAAATGCCAGTTATGCTAACCACAGTGACTGCTGTTGTAAAGGCAATAAAGGGAAGTAATCTTAAAAAATATGTATCATACACAGACATATTTAAGATACAATATAAGCAGCCTTGATAAATAGCAAATGATTAAATCAAGGATTGCAGGTTCTTCCTTTTGATCCTTAATCCTTATTCTACCCTTTCTATGAACGTATCTTAAATAGTGACTTTTAGAACATTTCAAAGATGTCTTTATTTAAGTATTTACTATATGCATAGAACTAAGATGAGCTTCTCGAAGGGGCAGAGAAACCATATTCAAGGCATGGCACCTGCCTTCCAAGAACTTACGATCTCTTTGAAAAGACAAAAAGTCCCCCAGTTGAAGGGATAAATACACGGCATGGCTAGTTTCCACAAGGAGTGGCAGAAATAAAATGTGTGATTGGATTTCCTCTACTATAATTTTATGACATCAAATGAGATAATAAATAAGCACAGAATCA